CCTTTTCTATTCCTTTCATAAATATGTATGAGATAACCTTGTTTCCATTTATCTAACCTCAAAAGAAAACATGAAACAAAGCAAACAAAAAGAATTAACCATGTCATGTCTAGTTACCAGACAAATCTGCTGCTGTTTGGACATTCAGTTACTGAAATGAACACAAATTTGTTCTCAGAACTCAAAGCAAATAAAACTAGTTTCTAGTCTTTCTAGAAGCAACAATTCCACCAGTCAAGGAATGCTGGCTGGCAGGGACTAGGAAACATGCCTTCTCTGCTATCGCCCTTGCCCTCTGGACTGGAACATTCTCTCTTGAGAACTGAAGATGACCCCAACCTGATGGCCTTTTGAAATCTAGTTGTAGGTTGTAGCAGTCATAAAATCAAAATATCCAAGTGACTGGATCTGTTTTTCTGACATTTTTCATGATGGCTGTTCAGCAAATCATTAAGTGAAACAGGTGGTTGTTAGGCAAACAGCACAGTTGTTAAGCAAAGCCATTTTTCTGAATGGATTTTTTGCTGGAAAATGACAAAAATGTGGGCAAAAAGAGAGTCACAAATTGTGGCTCTAAAGGTTAGCCAATCATGTGGTAAACATTTTACAATGTCCAGAACTGCTTTATGCCATAAAGCACCCATTCTGAAGCCATCCTAATTCCAAACAGTCGCAAAACAATTGGTCGTAACTTGAGGACTGCCTGTATAATTGTTTTAAACAAGTAGCAAAAAAAAAGATAGTAGTAGAAAGATTATACATTATGCCAGCCTTCAAGATAATCCAGTAATTACATACTGATAATCCTTGATTTATGACTATTAGTTCAAAGGCTGTTTCAGTAGCAGCAGTGCTGAATGAAGGGATTTACAACTGATCTCCAAAACTGCAGCCACTGCAATACATGATCAAAATTTGGGCCTTTGGCAACCTACCCACATTAATGACCACAGAGGCCACAGGCCTCAACTCCTCCACCTATCTTCACTCTATCTATGTCCTTTTAGCCATCCTGCACAGCAGCACTCCTTGGTAGGGCTGGGGCTGAAGTAGAGTCAGCTAACTGCCACTGTCCCAGACCTCTACTTCATCCCCATGCTGCCACTGAGAAATACTGCTTCAAGCCTCATAGCACAGCCAGCCAGCACAAGAGCACAGCGCAAAACTCGGTTTACCCTGCCACCCAGTGCTCCACAGCCCTGCCGTGTCCTATACCTAGAGGTCAGGGTGGCACAAAAATGGTATAGGAAAGACCACATCTATAGAATTGTCCATGATTGTTCTTCCGTCCCCTGGTGTGATGAATTTCTTTCTGCTTTGAATGCCCAAGGCTTCAGGTTTAATTAAGGACTACTGGGAAAGAATCCAGTTTGAAACTATGGGAAGCAACTCTGTCTATATACCAGTGGTGGTGAACCTATGGCACGGGTGCCAGAGGCGGCACTCAGAGCCCTCTCTGTGGGCACGCGTGCCATCGCCCCAGTCCTAGGCCTTCACCTGGGTTTTATAAAACCTTTTTGCTTTAGGCCTCTGCTATCGTGTGCAAAAAAAAAAAAGGTTCACTCAATCAGTCAATTTCAACTTCTCGCAGGGAAAAAAAAGATCTTGCAAAGTTGGAATTGATTGATTGAACTTTTTAGTCCCACCCAGTCTGCCGTTACCACCGCAGCCACGCCCACCCAATGGGCCACGCCCACCCAATGGGTCACACCCAGCCAATGGGCCACACCCACCCGGCACCCAACGATGCATGTGGGTTTTGGGTTGCAGTTTGGGCACTCGGTCTCTAAAAGGTTCGCCATCACTGCTATATACCAATACTGATATAGAGTGAATGGGTATGATCTAACTGGATATAAAACAGCACTCTACAACAGCGCCCCCAACCTTTTGGGAACCAGGGACCAGTTCCGCGGAGAGAGATTTTTCCACGGACTGGAGAGGGCATGGTTTCGTGTGCTGCCTGCATCCTGCAGATGGGGCTTTGTTTGTTTATGCGGCCCGATTTCTGGCATGCTGCAATCCAGTGCTGGTCCATGGATGTAATGATGTAAAGTTATTCAACAAATGAAAAAGATACAGCTGCAAAAATTTCTTAACATTGAGACTGTTTTATTGTATTTCTCTATGCAACATAGTCAAAAGAAGCAAGCAGACTTAAAACAATGGATTATCACATGCTACACAGGAATCCCCTAACTCTGGAATAATTTTTGTGGACAATAATAATGAAGGAATTATTGTATCATAAAATGATTCAAGTAAAAAACATATTTCCAACATAAAATATCTTTTAAAAAAGGCAATAATGTGGAATGGGACATTTAAAAAAAAAGTTACTATGCTTCATTTTTCTGAAAACAGTACTTTCTTAACAG